CTGGTTCTATCCTGCATCAGAGCAAAAGCACACTGAAATCATCTTTCTGTGCTGGGTTATGGTTGGTGACCTTACTTGAAGCTTGTATCAAACCTGGTAACCCTTAAAACTGGCTTTGACTGTGCTGTTTGAAGTCACTAGCAGGTATATAAAATATCTTCTTTGCAGCTTTTCTCTTTTCCAAGCATAAATAAAAAAGGACCAAGATACATTAACACCTTAGCTGTTTCAGTCTTCTACTTACTCTCAAACCAAAACAAAAAGCAAACCACAGGCAGCTACAGAGAACAGTGGTGTTAACAGCAACATGTCCAGCACCTCTGTTTCATGCCCCCATCTCTTCTGCTCTTTTCCTTTCCTTCTTCTCAGTTTTTATTTCTCCATACAAATTAAGGATCCTGCTGAATTTTGAATTGATTTCTTCTTCCTTAATGAGAATCACCACTCTTGAGACAGTTGTTCGGTTTGTGCCATGCGGGAAAGGGAATGAAGCCTCTCACCAAACTCTCGTTGCAGAGGGGAATGTGCAGGAAGCTGGGGCAGCACAGGGATGGGTAAGCGCTCTGATGTCTGACATCAGACACGCACTGGTATTTCAGCATCACTGTAGCTCCTCAGCACAGCATTTCCTCAGTCCCCTCCCCTCCTTCTCAGCCTTCTCCAGCATCTGGATATGGCTGGTTACAACCAGGGGCCCGCTGGATACAGCTTCATGGCCAGGCAGCTACAGCACAGTTGCAGCCAGCTGGCCCATGCCACTGCAGTGGAGGACAGGCCCCATCTACTGGGACAAGCACTGTCCCCAGTGCAGAGACCTCTGTTCAGACCTCTCATACCCATTAACCCCAAGGGGCATGGCTGTGAGCAGAGCTCTGTGGCTAGTGCTCTGACAGCACTAAGTCACTAAGTCACTGCACCTCACATGTTAACCTGTGTGAGGTTCTGCCCATTTCAGCCCAAAAGGTCTTTTGGACATACTGCCCCAATGAGATAGTATGAAAACACCTTGTGAATGGGACAGCTTGTGAATGGGATTGCCATCTATGGTGCTCAGGACATGGTGCTTCCCCTAAATGCTGGTCTGGAAGCACTTGGAGCCCACCCCACCTGAAGGGAACATGACTTAGCTTTGATGTTTTCTTATGAGTGGAGTCTCACGTTGGGCATGCTAAGATTGAGCACCAGGAGCTGCAGTTTGCAAGGGAGGTCCTGGAAACTTGCTTGTGTATCTACACTCCGTATGAACACCTCTACCTGTCCTGCTTGGACACCTTGCCCTCCCCTGAGCCATCCAGAGTCAACCTTTGAGCATAGTGCCATCTGGTGAGACTTGAGACACTCGTGCAACCAAACATCACATCACTCACAGCCTTCTCTCTCACAAGCATCCCATGAGTCTGGACTCCCACCTCAAACCTCTCAGCTACAACCTGGTCCCTTTGAGCAGGTGATGGGGATCAGGAGCCAGTGGGGTGTGTCCTAATTTATGGGAGGCACTGCATGAGGCAAGATTTCATCTCCAAACACAGAGATTTGAATGTGTTACATAAACATACATATATATAGATACACAGAGGGGAGGGTTATTTCTCTGTGCATGGGGGGCTCTAGCACATACCTCCTGACACAGCCCTACAGAAGAAATAACCACAAACTTAACCAAATCCTGCCTTTCCTGTCTGCACGGACTACAGAGGTGGCATTGTGATCCAGACTGCAGATAACTGAACGAGGCTGTCAGTGATATGGGCATCTACACACACAATGCAGGTGCCCAGCCCCACATCACATTAGTGCAGACCTAGCCAATACAAGAGCTGTTTTGATAAATAGGCTTCTAGAGGTGCTTCAGTTAACCCTGGACATCTATCCAGGGCTAGGAGATATAGGACAAGACCTACAGGAGACAAACACCCTCCTGGTCTGATGGCTGCAGGCCAGGCAGGATACCTACAGCATTTAGGGAACTAATCAAGCCATCACATAACATTACTATTATTCATGACAGTGACCCATGGGGGCCCCACCAGCCTTAGAGTTCAGACTGAGTGTTGCTTGTACTAAATAGGACAGTGACCACCCTGGAGAATTTAGCCAAAACAGACTAAACAGTCGTTCAATAGAGGGGAAAAGTGCATCACACCTCTATTTTACAGCTCAGAATCCAAGATCAGATGAGAAGTGGCTTCAGAGCTACTAAATGACTGATATGTCACTGTGCAAGACTGACCAGCAAAACTTTACATTCATTAAATATAAGCTCAGTACATATTACAATTCATGTTCTCAAATAGTAGATTTGCACACTGATGATGGAAAACCTGGACCCTGATCCACTGTCTAGTGAAGCAAAGGGAAAAAGCTCTTTGCATTAGGATTACATAGGTAGCTCATGGGTAGACAACTCCTAACTCCATCCTAACCCATCCGCGGTCACTTCACTGTACTGCAGAATTCCTGCTTTGAAATCCCCTCAGCAGCTTTTCTCATTATCACTTACCACAATTACTCTACACTAAGCATATGGTTCTGTTTCCCATGAGTTAAGGCTACAAGTAGGGATTTTGGTCCTCACATTTGGAGGATTCGTAGCTTCAGTTCTATTGAACCATGCCAAGTGCGGGTTGCTATCCTCCAGCAGAGGATAAATGCATTAACAGGTGGCAAAAGGCATATTTTATGAGTGAGAAAATGAAATAAACAGATGAAAACACACCATGTTTTCTTCTGTTGTCAGTAGAACAGTGCATTTTATTATGGCTGTGTGCAATGGGAGTATTAGCTCTAATCTGCAGAAGTGCAAATTAAACTGCTGATTTAGATTATCATATTTCATTATAGTAACTTTACAGACTTTGACTTTTTTACTGCATGTAAAACCTTACGAGTTATTAGCCTTTTTTGTCAACTGTGTTTTAGAAGTGAGAGGTTTATTCCTGCTATTACACTAAAGGAGGCATTTTGCTGCTAGGAGTGTTCAGCATTTTATTCAGCTGTGATAACTTTCCCTTCTACTCTAGCACGAAACACAATTAAGACAGAAATGTTCAGTAGTTTTATTATGCCCTTGTGTGGGGAGCTAATCCCCACTTCATTTTTCAGGGATTCCCAAAGGATTTTACAAACTCTACATGCTTGCCCAGCACACTCTGTAGTGGCATAAACAAAGAATACATAGACTTCAGTGGGGGCTTTGGCTTTTATACTTTTAGCAATTCCACTTTCTCCTATCACAAGTTTCATGAGCACTGGAATTTCCTGGTCAATATTCTGGGCTTATGGATAAATTTTGCTCACTTTAATTTGGGCAATTTGTTACTTTAGTGGGTAAGCAAGGAAACAGAGGACTGGGTTTAAATAAATGTATTATTATTTCAAGGGAAATTCTCTTTACACAGAAGCACGCACAGGTTCACCTCTGAATTACCAGTGGGAGATGATCTCTGATTAATGGCATTCAATAAAAATGAAATAAAGCTTTTTTTTTTTTTTCCCCTGTAAGAAACCAGCAAACATTCCTAAGGAAATAAATAGTTTCATTAGTAACTTTTCATGCACCAGGGTTTTGGTTTAGCCTGGCCTCCTGTAGAAACAACCTGTGGGCACAGCTGAGATTTTACCCTGTTCGGTGTTTGCTGCCACCTCACATTCTGCATTTGACACCTTCCCTGTGAGCTGCTGCTACCTCTTCCATGGAGCTGAAGGCTCATGAAAGTGCCAAGCCATTGGTGTGGGAGGCTGGGCCTCTTTTCTGATCCATTGCTTTCAGTGCTCAATGATGTTTCTCACCATTTTATCAAAAAGATCTAACAGTATCTGGTGGCATTCTCACAGTGCCATGCCCTGCAGTGCATCTCTGCAGTCTAGGGTAGGTGTCCCTGCCCACGGCAGGGGGTTTGGAACTTGATGATCTTAAGGTCCTTTCCAACCCTAACTATTCTATGATTCTATGATCTCCCTGAGCCACAGAGCACCCTCTGCAGCCTCACATTGTGTGTGAAAGATGTGACCTAAGGAATCAAACCAGAAAAGCAAAGACTTTGACTGTGGTTTATACATTAAAACCTTAGTTTGGACTGAGCAGGGATTGAACAGGCAGCACTGCAGGTGTGGTACAAGCTTCTCTGCTGACCCTGGTGCTACCTGTTGTCAGGGGGGTTGGAACTTGATGATCTTAAGGTCCTTTCCAACCCTAACTATTCTATAATTCTATGAATAGGAGCATCCAGCGGATGCAGCAGCAGGGATGAGTTAGTATTTCACCTCTGTCACTCTGCTAGGCTATGGAAAGCAGGCAGTCACATAACCATGGGGTCAGTGCTTTTTCCCGTGCGAGTAACATACATGCACATACATTTTGCTTACCCAGTGGCACACAGTCATCAAACACTATCACTTTATTTCCTTTGGCTGACCCCAGTGTGAATGCCCCTTCCTTATTGCAAGACCTTTAGCACTGGGAATGATACTGGCACTGAACTCTGCAAACCTGACAGCTGAAAGCAGAGTTGTTCCTCCCGAGCTGGAGCAGGCACTTTGTCAGCTCCCTGCCGATGACTAACACAGCAAGTAACCTTTTCTTTCTGTGTGGGGCCCTTCCAAAAGGATTCAAAGTGTACATCAATCTTTATTAATGCTGTCACTCCTCCCTCAAACCCACTTCAAACGGTTCAGAGCAAGGGCTTTCCAAAAATTGATGCCACACCTATAATTAGACCTGAGGTACCAGATTGTCACCTGCTCATGGGTTGGTGACCTAGCAAGTAATCACCTAAGAGATCTTTGCCAGGGTGACATAAGACATATACACTAGACAACAATTAACATTACGTATGTGGCACTTTGCAAAGAGGTCTATCAGCTTCATGGGTAGGAACAGGGGGAAACTGCGTGAAGAAAGAACCAAGTACTTTGCACTCAGCACTGATTTCTGAATAAATGAATTATCTTCGTTTCCAAAATAAAAGACTTTGAAAAAGAAATTTCTATTTTCCTTCCTGTGGTACAGTCACAAATGTGTAGGGTCCTTTGCTTCCCCCTGCTGACACCCTGCAACGGCACAGGGTGGGCTGTGGCTCCAGCCAGCCGTGGGAGTGGGGAAACTAATGAGGATGGGCTTTGTTGGCAAGAGCTCTGTCATCCCGCAGCTCCCCCGGTGCTGCTGCCGAGAGGTGTGTGAGCGGGCGGACAGGAGCAATAAAAGCAGCTGAGTCCCCCCTGCACCTCATCACCTGCGTGCCAAGCACAGCTCTGGGGTCCCACTGGAGAGGACGCGCCCAGACGGCTCTCTCTGAAGGCTGGATTTTGTGGTTCCTCTGCCTAGTCTCCCAGACACACAGGTGAACGGATTTGGCACCCCTGGCACTCTCAGGTAAGAGGGATTTGCTGGGAAGCAAATGTGCCGGGATAAACACCAGAGTGGGGCTTTGTGGTTTGTTAGGAAATCATCATCTCTGGAAGAGGACTTTGAATATTTTAGAAAGATAAAAAGAAACCATTCCTTCTAGCAGTCTTTAGAGAAGGCACCTTGCTGCAGAGGGGCTTGCTGGCCCATGTGCACCTACTGTCTCCCAGCACAGCCCACTGGCAGTCAGGAGCCACTGAGTGGGAACCAGAGTCTTAGGAAGCCCCAGCAACTCTGCCTGCTGTGTTCACCAATGCAGAGTGGGGCACCTGAAGCTGGAATAGGGCAGAGTTCAGTTTGAGAAGACTGAACACTGTAGGACAAGGTTGGAGGTGACTCTTGTTTGGGCTGACGTATGGTGGGACTAGCGTGAAGCTGCCTTTTCAGGTTTGCTGTGGGTCAGGGATATGGCAGTTGGTTACTGATCCTCTGCTTCTGAATTTTGTTACCTTAACATTTAGATCAAGAATAATGATCAGAAAAAACAGTTCACAGCTAAAACTGGCTGAAATAACAAAGGAACCAGGATGGAGGCTCTGTGTTAGCACTGCTGCTTGTTCTGAGTCACAACAGAGGCAGCAGTGTGGGGGACAGCATGAGTGCCAGGCAGGGAGCAGCCAGCGCTCTGGGGCAGACCTGGGCACCGGCCACCAGTGGAGAGGGCACTGAGTGGGGAAGTGCTGGACAGGCTGTGGGAGGCACAGGGGTGCTGTGGCTCTGCTGTGGGTGATTGCAATCTGCCACCCCAAAAGCGGCTGTGCAGAGAGGTGCAGCCCCCTGCAAGGGGCTCAGAAACTTGTGCCCCCTGCTGACCCCTGTAGCACTGGAGTGGGTCCCTTCACCTCAGGCAAATGACCCCAGAGGACTAATGGGGGAGGTACGGAAGCTGGCTTTGGTCTAAGTTTTTTTTCCCTAGTTGTGGCTGAGTTTTCCATTTTGCCTGTGACTTTCCCAGCTCACCAGCAAGCTGGCAGCAGGCACTGGGCAGCAGGACATCCACCCTCCCTTTGCATGCTACCAGCCTTCACGCTACACTGCTTGCAGTTTCCTGTGAGTTTCAGTGATTGTTTCTCTATTTCAGCTGGGGAACAAAGCTGTTACCCAGCCACCTGGCTGTTGAATTGCACTTTAATACTCTCATCACACAGGAAAAGACTCATCTTTAACACCAGCAGAAACTTCTGCAGAACCTGAAGGATGGGGGAAGGGGCAACACCAATTTATCCAGCAAACATAACTTCTCTGAAGGATTTTTCAGTCCTGTAGGAGTCAAAGCCAATGTCTGAGGAATGACTGAAACCATCACCTGGTGGTGATGTGTCCTTGTGTGAACACGTTTTGTGCAGCCACCAGGAATGTGCTTTATTCATCTCACATGTTAAAACTCATTGTTCTGATTCACAGCCATTTCTGGGCTCCATCACTAGATGGTGACATGCTCCCAGATACAGAGTTGTCCCTCGGTTTGTCTTTTTCCTTTCATATAAAATAAATTTAGACTAAACGTATGTTTTACCCTCTGTTCACAGAAATGCAGCATCCCCAGCCACAAGCAATTCTGCTCAACACAATTTGGTAGTCAACCAATTTTTAATATGGCATTGGTTTTGTTAACACGGTTTCTGTAAGTGTTACTGCTATAAAAGTAATTCTAGTCATTAACATTTATGTAAAGAAATATTACTGCTCTCTGCATAATTTAGGATATATTTGTCAGCGGCCAATGGCACAAAATGAATGCCTGTTTGTGCGCTTTCTGGGAACAAAGCTGCACCAAAAGTTTTAAAGTTAAATTAATGTGTCATTTGCTTGTGGAAGCTGCCACAATCCCTTCCCCCTTCCTGTTTTCTTTGAGCATGCGACAGTGCTTGCCTCCTTCCTTAAAATATTTGTCAATACTTGCAGGCCAAAAGCACTGTATTTGCTCTTCTGAAGAAGGTTAGGTGACCAGGATGAGGAGTATGCACTCCTCAGCGGTCAGGCACTCACATATAATCTCCATTCCAGTCCATTGTTCAGTTTTGATTGAGATGTCCACTGGGATTTGCAAAGCTCATTATTGCAGTAACACCCATCAAATGAGGCTTGTGGCACAGCATGAAGATGAGGGCCTGAAAAGGAGAGCTAGAATCCATGAGATGCCTGATGGGATGATGAGCACTAGAAACCTGGATATGTCTATATTGGTGCCTGCCTGCCACATGCAAATACCTCAGCATGGGTTACTGACCTGGTGGGGTGCCTGCAAAAGCTTCAGTCCCTGCTACTTGCTTGGCTGCTCATCAAAAGGTAAAGCCAGACTTGCCTCTGCTGAGAAATAGAAACTGCAATGCCAACGCGCGAGGAACAAACCCAATCCATTCCCCCTAGCAGCAGAGGGTCCTGTGCTGCTGCAGCTCATAGGTCTTGGGGCTTGCAGGAGAAAGCAGACTCCCAGGAAACACTCAGCTCTGCTCAGCCCTGTCTGGTAGGGTTTGGACAGGATTTGGAGGGGGGTTGGCCACATATAGACTAGGTGGTACAAGTCTGTCCCTATCTTCAACACAGGCCTGGGGGCCTGTGATCCCTAGTAGGCTCTGGGCCAGGTTGGGCTCGGTATTGGATGACAAGAAATCCCAGTGGGGTGGGCTTCATGTCAGCTTAGAACAGAATAAGGCTAAGCTTAAAATATTGCTCTTTCATCATCAGGAGATTTAGAGAGGATAATTTGAGGTATGTGCAGAAATGCTGCTTCCCCTGTCCCATCCTCCTCTGCACACACCGTCATCTCACACAGTTGCTGTTGATGGTAGATCTGTGGTGACCCTGACCAGAGGCTGAGGACTGGGGTGTGTCTGTGAGCTTTCCACACTCCCATTGACACTGGATGCTACTGAACTGTCTGGCACTGTCTGACGCCCAGACCTTGGATGCCTAGCGGCTTGCTCACCCCCACCCCACCTTGTAAAAGTTCTGCTTTACAAAGAGCTACTTTCTAGTCCAGCTGCTTTTTTATCAAAGGCTTCTTGTTCTGGGCTCCCTGCGGCTTGCAGGTTTTCTTCTATATTCCTTTTCAGCATCCTCCTTGATTTTAGAAGTATTTTCATCCTCTCTCCTCTCCTTTTCTGGAAATCATTTTTGCTCACTAAGTATTTTTTGCTGAGGTTTGTGTAACAAGCCTTATCTGCTACACAGGGTTTTTTCATAATAGTTAAATACATTTTGTCCTGCCCCAGCCCCAACTAAAATCAAGATAGAACCTATTAAAGTTTTCAGAAAGCCAGCATGAATACTTCTTCCCCAGCCTTCTTTTTACCCCAAAGCTCTAGCATCAGCACTAGGCAAGCCCAAAGGTGCTGAAAGGCACAACTGACAATGATGAGTGCTGTCTGGATTGTGGATACTCTGAGATTTTGGAGGGCAGGGAAAGCTTGCCAAAGTTCCTGAGCGACCCTGGGTAAGTCAGAGACACTTTTTATAAGCATATTCATTTCTGTATCCCCACAGATACCCGAAAAGGCTCTTCACAATGACTGCTGGCCTGGAGAAAGTCTGCCACCGGTGCATATCGAAAATTGCCAGCAATGGTAAGGCACTTCTGATAGTAACCTTCTGTATTTGAGTATCCCTGTTGCCAAGCTGGGTATATGAAGGAATCCAGACGGTAACAAGTTCTGCCTGAATCTTCTACTGAAGTTCCCTTTTCTTCCCTCCTTTCTGAGGCATTTCCTTCCTAGGCAATTTTGGGCACTGGTGGAGTGCACAGTAGTAACTCTGTCCCCACAGCGCATCCCTGCTGCAGTATTTGGATTATAGCAGATCAGCATAAAAGTTCAAACAAACAGAGCCACCAAGTACCTAAATACAGGCTGCAGCAGACAACCTAAGCAATATGCTGTGTTTGTCTCCTGGTTCAACTGGTATCTTATGTGTAATCCAGCAGAAGTATCTGCAGGGAAAAACACCAGGTAAAGAGCAGTGTGGCCAGCTTGGGAACAAAGTTCCCCACAACCAATTCCTGCAAAGCAAAACTGCTGCCAGCCTGTGTGTCAACATAGGAACACAGGGCTGGAGATAGAGTATGGTCAGGAATAGCCCCCCCCTTTCACCCAGAGACATTTGGAGCAGGGTCTTCTTCCCTGCATTTGCCCAGTCCCTGGCACACAGGCATGAGTAGCCCTCAGAACGGGCCACATGTTGTGGGTAGGAAGTATCAGTTATCTGAATGCAGGTTTTTCACAAGACAGCTTAGGCTCATCCAAGCTTTAAAGCAGCAGGTTCATCCTCACATAGTGGAGGATGCAGAGATATGTAACAAACCAACAGCTCCTGGAATGGGAGAAGAAGCTGGTTCTTGCTCTCTGAGAGGCAACGCAACAGAAAGCTCAGGCTGGCGGCTGAGGCACAGAAGTCTTATGCTTCAGAGGTGGGGTTTTATAAGACCAAAGAAGTGTCATTGGCATAAGGTTAAAATCCAAGGGTTTTAAAGCAGCTTACTCTCGCTGACTGCACCTCCTTTTAGCTCCGAGTTGCAAGTGCATTTTGCTTTTGCTTGTAAGCAGTAGCAATTTCTAATTCCACTCAAATATGAGAAGAAGAAAACCCCTTGACCACTCACCGGAACTGATACTTCACCCACACTAATTGCTGCATTTACCAGTGTAGGGCTGTTACCTTGGAGTCTTTTATAGTCCTGCTTTTGGCTTCAATTGAAAATCTCTCAAAGTTCAGAATGACCTTTTATTAATGGTTAAGCCCCTTAAACTCCTTGCTGCCTTACAACCCTTCAGAGAAAACCAAGCTGGAGGGAGAGACAGCCCTGGCCTGGGTTCAAACCAGGCTCATCCTCAGGAAGCCAGCACAAGCAGGGAAAGAGAAGGTATTTTCTGCCCCACTTGTTCATGCTCATCATTGCCCCAGGGGAAAGGAGGGCTGGGGAGAGACAAACACTGAGAAGCCCTTGGGAGTAGGATTGGGTTGGTGAGGGCTCCCTCACAAGCCACAGAAAGGACGTGCAGCAGGGCATGCTGATGACTATCACAATGAAAAAAGGCAAAAGTGGTATTTTGTCTGGTTTTTGTTCGTACCTGTTACAATCAAAATGTCACCATTCCCTGCTGGTATTAAATTGCCACTTAGACTTTAATGATGACAGAGAAAATAAATGATCTTTCTGACATTGTTTTTTAAAGAAAGGGATTAGTTCTGATCCTATGTATGCTTTCTTACATGGAAGCACTCTCTGTTACCCACAAAGATGTCCATGAATAAGGCAACCCAGAAATACTGCTCCAGGAAACACACTAGCTTTAGTTTTTCATTACATTCAAGTTCAGAATCAGCTCAGATTTAGCTATGGGTCAGTTAAAGCATCCAAAATTGATTTTCTGTTCATTAGGATGCAAACCCTCCTGAAGCACAGTGACACTGGAGTTCACTTTTTCTCATCATCTTGTGTGTATTTTTCGAAGAGCGCTTCAGCACAGCCCCACATTTGTCCCTGTGGTCTCCTGATATTTAAATGACTCCAAAGAGTCAACCTACCCGTGCAGCATCATTTGAATTCTTTTCATTCTTGGTAGAGCAATTTAAGTTCAGAACATTAGGGCAGTCTTTAATTAACTGACCAAAAATAAAGATGGCTAATCCACTACCCTGGGTATTGCAAAGCAAACTGGTGGCTCTTTATGGAACACCTAAATCTTGTTCTAAAAGTACATCTCCAAATTAATCACAAAGGGCTGAATCCAGAACCTAGACCTAGACCATGGTTGTAGTTCAGTAGCTAGAGGCATGGCATGAAAGCCAGACAACCCACTCCGCAATATTGCTTAACCCCAAACCACCTACATCTACCTCTGCCTCTCTGTCTACATCCTCCCTGTCTTGAAGGTTCCCAGATTACTGGCACCTCCTTACTCCACACCATTTCTGATGACAGAAGCATTGTTGGTGTCACTGATGGAACCTCCAGTTTTAGGTGGTGTAATGCTGGCATAGCTTATCTGGATACCAAAGTATTTCACAGAAACACAACCCTGTCTAAGCAAAGAGAGATGGCAGACAGCAAACCCCGAGCTTGGATTGTGTCTCAAGTAAGTTTTATCACACTTTTCTTGCTCCCTACAGTGGCTTTGCACTGGGACTAGAGACCTCCATGGGAATAGCTGTTCCTTACACTGAATCCTCCAGCTGCTGGGTATCTAGTTTGTTCAGAGATGAAACCACCCCACGCGTGGGTTTACTGCCATTTGTCCCAAGAGACTATTCTGTCAATATGTCTCCTTGCTATGGCACTTAGACTCATGGACAAAGCAATCTTTGTTTCTGCCCAGGTTCATTTCAGATCTCTGCTTTCTTAGCTCTGTGCATCACTTACAGGTCCTTTTTGAGTGTTCAAACCTTGTGGTTATTTTCTCTCATTTGGCCTTTGGCTAGCCAGGCTGAACAGATTTAATTGTTTTCCTTCAAAGTTAGTTCATTCAAGTCTTTTCTGCATATCCCATCTGATGTAGTGACATTTCCTGTCACCCAAAATCCCTGAAAGACATGCAGTATCCACAGCTACCAAACCTTTGGGCAGACTCCTCTCTGATCTGTAAAACATATGGCCTTGCTGAAGCTGGATCCCCAGGGAGTTCCATTGAGATTCACTTTGCCACTGCAGCACCCACACATACTGCATCCTTTCTTTCCTCCAAGTCCCTATCAGTACTTCAGGGGATGCCTGAAGATACTGTGGAGGAATAAGATGTGGATGAAAATATCTGCTACCTGCCTGCACTCCATCCTGTTACACTGCCCATGCTGTTGCACAGCACACCTGTGTGACAAGTGACATTGCTACTAAGCTACTAACTACCGTCTGCATCTGCCTTGGGGCATGATCAGTCCTGGGCCAGTTGACCCGAATTTTCCCACATCCACACTGCTGAAAGTCAGCCCCCTTCACAGCAGCATTCCTATGGGGGGTCTGAAGGGGGGAATGTGAGTTTACATACAGTTTTCCTCCTCAGCTTGCTCATGCAGGTAAATCCTGGGGTAACTGCAGATTTTTTCTGGAAGCTGGTAGCATCTCATTTAAAAAAAAAAATATATATATATTCCTTTTTTGTCAGGAACCTGACAAGCTATAGACCAAACAGCATTTGGGAATGATGGTAATGTACACAACATTTCATTTATTACTGTGTTTATTATCAGACAGCTTGTCACACACTCTACTGAGCAGGTTGCACTATAGCTGTGTTAGCATACTACCTAAGAAGAGTGGGTAGGTTGAGATCTGTACTCATAAATCACTCCTGACAATCCCATGAGGGCTCTTCTTACCTGAAAAGACAGAAACTTTACCTTCAACTTAAACAGGGACAGCCTGGGATGTTCTGCAACTTCCAAATGCTTTGACAAATCGTGGCAGCAAAATAAAGTCTGAGGGCGCACAGGTGAATTGGTGTCACCTCCAGTACTGCCTCTGGATCTGTCCCACATGCCGGAGACAGCTAATCTGCTGTGTGCCCTGAGGCCAGGCACAGAACTGGGGACGGAAAACAAGGGAGTAGCAGGAGGAGAGCTGCACTGCACAAGCATGGTTATGGAAGTTGTAATGAGTCAGGCACCAGACAGAAAAGCAACCATAAGATAATATAGGAAAGAGACTATAATGGTGATTTGAAATTGATTTACTTCTTTGAGAAGACCCTGTCAGGAGTAACTCAGCTAAACAGCAGATTTGTACCAGCTAAACATCTCTGCTGAGAAGGAGACAAAATCTGCACCCACTGCGCCCACAGATGTCAAGGAAAGTGCAAGATACAGAGCCACTTGCTCTCCTCTTCCTCTGTTGTGACCCCAGACATGAGCTCTTCCCTTCACCCATTTCCTGGCACGTTAGGACTCACTCACTAATGCCTCCCTCAGGAGGACTTCACCAGTGCCCCACCATGCACTGCCTTGGTACAGAGCAGGGGCCTTTCCTGTCTGATGCCCTGACACCAGCTTTGTGGAGCAGAACGTTCTCCTAAGTCATTCTTAGAAACACTTCCTTCACCCTGTTCTGTTTTTAGAGACTAACAGTCCATTTTTGCTACTTTTTATAGGAACAGATCCAGGGGCATCTCTGTGAGGTGGTAGCACCAAGTTAAAAATATCATGAGCCCCCCATGTGAAGCTGCACAGACAGCAGGGTTCTATCTGCTGAGCTGTGCTGCCCTAAGGCAAACACCATTTTCTTGAGCAATTTGTCCGTGGACCAGAATGGGGCAGCAAAACCCAGACAAACCCAGGCAGAGAGTGGCTGCTTCCTGACTGAGCAGCAGCTCTGTGAAAACCCCACACATTTCGGGGATAACACTCTTCAGCGCTGCTAGCGGCATTGGAGTGGCTGCGGGGCCCTGCCAGTTGTGTAGTCAATTGTTGAGAGAGTCTCACTTTGTTAAACATGGATCTGGAAGCCTTCCCAGACTACACATCTGCCCCTCCAATTCGAGACCTAAGAGGCTGTAGCTGAATGGGGAGATAATGAGTAAATACATTCCCCGCAACTGCTCTGGGAGGGGAATTAATGAACCATTATCTCTTTCTCTTTGAGCTCCAAATGGTCCCTACCTCCCATTTCTCCCCTCTGAAATAAAGCTAAAGCTATAGGGTAGATGCTACCCACAGGCAAACACTGACACCTGTGTGCCAGATGTGCAGCTGCACACATACATGGGCCTCACCAAGCCTTTCACTGAGTTTACCCAGTAAGCTATCCATCTCTCCACAGGGGTCAGACAGACCAAGCACTGCATGACTAAGAAACTACATGGTGCCTCCTCCTGCCAGGGACCTGAGTACTTGCCTGTGCAGCAAGGGCAGGAGGAGAAGGTGGCTATTAAACCACAGACAGAGGTGTGACACTGCTGAAAGCTGCACCGTGATGACAGAGCTTCTGGCAACAGCAAGCAGTTGATGCAACTCCTGCAGACCTGAACTGCAGTCATCTGGGTACCAGACAAATGAGTTGCCCAGGCTGAAGGCATTATGTGCAGGTGATGTTCATGGATGTGTTGGTAGCCCAAATCAGCTACAACAGCGTTGCTTCTGAATATGAAAATAATAGTCTAGATAATGTAAAAGCAAGAGTACTTAGCATGAAATATGATGTGATGAAAAGGGAGGCTCTAGGCTGAGTTGTTTGAAAGAGCTTAGTCAAGTGTAGGACACTATTCAAGCAGAGGAAGAATTCCTGTACTGTACTGCATGTAAGAGATAGGAGAGCCTGAGAAAAACTGTGAGAGAAAGACACATATAGGCCGATGGGGATAGGAGGAGAGTGGCACAAAGGAACAGAAATGCTTTTTTAACTCAAAGTATCTTCAGTCTCTACCAATTCATAGCGATAACAAACACGTTAGTTCTGAGAAAGAAGGATGTCTCCCAAATGCTGAAGTGCAGGATCCTTGTTCTGTGCAGACAGAGAAAGCAGCATGTGGGGGATGGGGCTTTCCCATGAAAAGTGTCTGCGAGTCAGAAAGCCTGGTGGATCTGCCCTGAATTTTGATGCTGCTCCTCTGTCCCCCGTCTCAGTTTCTCCTTCTGTAAAATGGAGGCAATGATGTTTCCCTTTTTCTCTAAGGCACTCTGAGGGCGATGCTTTGGCACTGCTGCAGTTTCCCAGAGTGGCACTGTACACAAGGTGCTGGCAGCGTCCCCGCTCCTGAGCAGCGAGGAGGATGCCATTTGCTTTGCAGAGGTTGCAGTTCTTTGGCACAAGGAACTGTGTGACACAGTTTGCCTGGGGAAGAGCTTGTCCCAAACCAACCCCAAATGCTTGCTCAAAGATTTTTTTTCATAACCCTCTGAGGAGATATCACACTCCCTTTCTTATCCATGCCCTTCTTGGCCCCTCTGCAATATATGCCCACCTCTGCTTACTGCCCTTTTGCCACTTTAGGCATCTACTTGCAGATTAAGCCATTTGCAGAAGCACTCTGCAGGGACGCTTGGCCACAGAATGTCCTCATTATATTTTACTCTCATTTTGCAGGGCAGCGTTTCACTTTAATATTGCCAAGTGTTCATGATTAGGCACAGAGGTGACAGCTCTTGTAAGACAGGCTGCTCACTCTTCTTGATGGTATTGTTTCTCTCTTTCTGCAAAGGTAAGCATTCATCCTCTGCAGCATCAGGCTGTGCTGGGAAAGTAGCAGAGCTCAGATACATCAGCAGTCCTCTGGGGAGTAACTAAGCACCTCAGATCCACTCATCTGCTAGAACAGTCTACGTGCACCCCTAAGAGCATCCTTCCATGCAGCTTAAGCTGATCTATCACAATGACAAGTCCCACTCCTTCCAGTGGAGATGCTGCCTGTTTTCATGAGCTGAGCTGGCTCAGGGAGTTAGACCAGCCAGAAACTGTTCACATCTGCAGTAAAGACAGTTTATTTAGCTATCAGTGAAAACTAAGTGAAATGACATTAAAGCTGATATTTGTTTAGCAAACAGATATGGCTCATCAGTTGCCATGGATTAGCTGATGCAAAGTTACTTGTTATTGCACAGTCACCTGGCAGTGCCTCTGAAGCTGAGGGTGGCTACAGTAGTAGCGATGGCTGAGACTTTGCCCTTCCTAGGAGTAGTAGCAATGAAAGCAGTTTGTGCCCCTCATTGCTTTTCCACTGATACAAGGACTAATAATGTACGAGTTAAAAAATGGAAGCTTGAGCTCTGGGAGAGTGAGTGACAAACCACTTGCTGGTCCCATCATATGAAACCCTGCACCACAAACAATATTCCCACTCCACCAAGTGCACTGCATTTCTTGCTACACAACCTCATGAACAAACAGCATCTACAAAGCACTGGATGGAATTGCTGGTCTCTGAAATTCAACCCCCAATAATGCTGTCTTTCTTTTCTCATCCGCAGCATGCTTTATATTTGCGCTCCTTGCTTTCCTTGCCTTACCACTGTCCATGACTTTTATAGGTAAGTTGCCTACTAAAGCAATTTAAAAACAGGAACTTCCCAGCACTGTGTGGCAGGTTAACACATCCAGAGGGAGAAGGGAGTCGGGAAACTTAGTTGAACTTGTGTGTTGATACTTCAGCTTCAGACAGAATCTCAGCCCACAATGAATGTGCTTGAATTCTGACCCTATTTGTCTTAAATAACCCCCCCCCCCCTCGCCAAGTGTCTTACCTCAGTACAGGGCTCTGTCTGTGGGAGGAAGCTCAGAATCTGCCACATGAGAAGATCTGTATTAACTGCACTGCAAAAACCTTAGAAGTGTAGGGCTGGAAGGGAAAAAGAGATGATCTAGGCTGCTATTTATCCACCTTTTTGTAAGCGATACCTGGTTTTCAGCTGCTCTGCTTTGTCTAACCCCCCCAAAGGCTGGATTTGTGAGTAGCAGTTCAAGATCAAATATTTAAGAAAGGAAAAGAAAATCCTTTGAGCAGCAGAATTTTATACATTTTTAAACTGCACAAGGCTCCTTTTTTCTTAAGCATCACCTTTTCCTTGCCCTTAGCATAGATTTTATTTATTTATTTATTCATTTATTTATTAACTGAGCAATTTCTTACACTTCATTGCTCCCTTTGGGCTTTTCACATCCTCCACAGGGTTGCGACCCACTTGAGGAACATAGGCAGAGACACCAGCCCACCTCTGTTTTCAGATAGGCTCACATGCTCACAGCATCCCTGACAGATGTCTGACTTGCCCTTGCTCAAGGAAATTCCACAGCTTCCCAAAAAGCCTATTTCAGCATTTTAGTGCTCTCACAGACAAAATATTTTTCCCCATATCCAACCTAAATCTTCCCTATGGCAAATTAAACAGATTACAGCCTGTCTTACCTACCATGGTCACAAAGACAGATTGGTCACCATCCTTGTGAAGAGAACCTTTGAACTGTTTGAAGGGTGCTATTATAACCCCACTCCATCTTCTCTTTTTTTTCCAGAGATCTCAAAACCTGCATTTTTCATCCTGATCTCACAGGTCACTGTTTCTGAGGCCTGGTTTTTGGCATTTTTGCCTCCCTCCTTTGGCCTCTGGCCAATGAAGCTATCTTTTCCTCCCATCCAAAAAAAAAGATGGAACACAGGACTGCAGCTGAGGAGTGCAGAATATTCAGCTCCTCTGTTTAACATGCAGGATTCCTGTAAACATACCTCAAAAAGAAACATGCTCTCTCTGCACCAACTCATTGGCTCCAATTTAGTTTATGGTGCATTGTAAGCCCAGACAGGTTTTGTTAGTGCTGCTTCTTATCAAACACTTGTTTTTTATTTACACTGAAGTGTTCTCTCCTATATTCAGTGTTCAGCTTTTTCAGCTGTCATCTCATGGATTTTTGATGTCTTTTTCCAATGTAACCAAACCACTTCGATTTTTAAGTCTTGTCCTCAGGAGTGCTTACTGTCATTCCAGATGGGTGCCCTTGAGAAGCTGTTCACAGTATCACAGTAGGTTAGAGGTTGGAAGGGACCTCAAAAGATCATCTAGTCCAATCCCCCTGCCGGAGCAGGAACACCTAGATAAGGTTACACAGGAACGTGTCCAGGCGGGTCTTGAATGCCTCCAAAGAAGGAGATTCCACAACCTCCCTGGGCAGCCTGTTCCAGTGTTCCGTCACCCTCACTGAGAAGAAGTTTCTTCTCAGGTTTAAGTGGAACCTCTTGTGCTCCAATTTGTACCCATTACCCCTTGTCCTTTCATTGTTTGCCACTGAGAAGAGCCTGGCTCCATCCTCGTGACACTCCCCCTTTATATATTTATATACACTAATAAGGTCACCCCTCAATCTCCTCTTCTCCAAACTATAGAGACCCAGCTCCCTCAGTCTTTCCTCATAAGGGAGATGCTCCACTCCCTTAATCATCTTAGTTGCCCTGCGCTGGACTCTCTCCAGCAGGTCCCTGTCCTTTTTAAACTGAGGGGCCCAGAACTGGACACAATATTCCAGATGAGGTCTCAACACAATATTCCAGATGAGGTCTCAACACAATATTCCAGATGAGGTCTCACCTTCTGTCTTGTTCATGAAAGATGGTACAAAGGAACTCTACATGCAGATGCTACGGGCAAAATGCATTCCACCTAGATTTGGACTATATGCACCTGTAACCAAACTCAGTGCCATGTGTTGGCCTTGAATTTGACTGTGAAAGTCCCATTCCCTCTTCTAGGTGTCTGCATTGCGACGACCTTTAGGGGGGTCAGGACACCTAGCCTGTTAGCAGGTATAGTTGGCCAAACTCACAAAAAGCGTTCAGCTGAAGTGTTCAGTGCTGCATCCTTTATCTGGGGCCTTCTGAGTACCAGTGAGAGAGACTGTGGAAGGATTCTGATTAGGATGTCCTAATTAGGAATTAGGGAGTTCTAATGAGGGATTAAAGAGCTATTAGGAAGTAGGGAAATGGACTGAACTGTTCCATCTCACCACTTAGGCTCTTATGGTTATTCATGACTTAAAATTGCTATTTATCCCTTAAGAGGATTTTAGCTTTAGCTTTTCTCTAGGCTGAATATGCCTGAGCAGTGGAAAAGAGGTGGGAAGGTATAACTCAAAAGTGTGGTACAGCTTACATGCCTATTGACAGGCAACCCTCTGGAAATGAATCCAGGGTTGGAATCTGATCACTTATAATTTCCTTGGAATATTTCATAATACCTTTAAGATCAGTGAGAAGTGGAAAGTGTATGGTAAGATATTAGCCTGGAGCTCTGGGTATCTCCTGCATCAGATATAGAGCCCCTTTTTTCACAATTTACTGAAATTAAGAGATAATGTCACTGTAATATACTGTTGTCAGAGGATATTCGCTTCCTGCAGCTACAGATCTGCAGAGGCATTTCTAGGAAAATTAAATGTCAAGCAAAATGCAGATATTTATTATCCAAGCAAAAGTCTCTGATTTTCTGATAACATTCTGTTACCGTGATCTCAGAGAATAACTTATTGATGTGCCTCCAGTCATTTTGGCTCTTGCTTTCTGCAGACAAAAACTGAGAAGCATTTTCAAAAGTTAACAAATTAATTATATTTGTTAAAACTCAGAGATGATCAACTGGTACCCCAGTAATAACTAACATTAACACACTAACACTGTATGCTTTTAAATCTGGTAGTACTGCAAATCACAGTAGAAATCAAGATACAAGAAAAGGACTCAGCAGATTTTCCCAGCTCCTAACTTGTGACATTGTTCAAGCCACAGATTGTTTAGCAGCTTTCTAACTGTCACTGGTAGAGATGATCCCCTTTTTTCACTAAACACTCTAAAAATACAGATATGGAAGGGCCTCACAGACATCTTCTGAGAATTTGCTTTAGTTTCTGGGACAGTGAAGGGTTGCTCCCAAAATCACATTCTTGTACATTGTCTAGACTACCTTCATACACAGTGTTCCCCAAGGGTAGTTAAATCACATATGAAAGCTGATGACATCATTTTCTCAATAGGCAATCTGAATTTTCCCCTGCTCAAATTTACCCCAGTACTATTCCTCACGCTCATATCTACACCAAATAATTCCTCAGCTCTCAAGTGCTCCTGATAGTTGTCTGATGCCTATTCTCAGACTCTGTACCTTTATGTGAGGGGCAGTCTTGCCCTTTCGCAGCTGTTAACATAATCTTTCATTGCATTTCAGTCCTTCACTGTTTCTGTGAGTTTCCTCTGATTTGCTCATGTGCTTTCTGACAAAATGGTGCCCAAACGCAATTATTTTGAGGAAAGTCCTCTGCAGCACCTAGCTCCTAGTGTGAAGGCCACAGCCCAGGGCTTGACCAAGCTCTGTGCTAAGTGATGGCAGCGGCAGTCATCCACGAGGAACAACTGAAAGTGGCCTGGCATGTTTCGTCCTCTGCCTCCTATTAAAAGAGAAGGAGGGGAGTGGGCACCAAACATCACATTAGCCTTGCTATACAGCAGCTCTCCTTTACTATAGGATAGTGATACCTTTACTCAGTCATTTTCAGCTTCCTGAGAAGAGCAAAGCAGCTAGAATGAGGGCAATGCTGTATTGCTTTTCATTCATCCTGACCCTTCACTTCATGGATAATCATGAGTTGCAAGGACACTTGGTTAGTAGTGATCTGTTGGCACAACACTGCTCAAAATGGTGTCCTTAGAGACACTCATACCCTGGTCACTCACAACTGCTCTTTTCACTGGGCTAGACTTTGTGTCCTGGATCTCACTGAAGTGTTGTTCTGTGATAACAGAGGTAAAATGTGCAAGTAACTCTGCTCCCTCAAGCCTCCCATCTCTTTTTCTCCTTTGGACACATGCAAGCTGTTGGACATCCTTGTTGTGTCTGAGCTCACAAAGGTTGCTGGTTTGTTCATTTGGATTTACATGGTGGTCTATGTCATGGCCAGGATCAATTGCTCTTCACTCTAAACCACAGATTGCTCTGGCTTACAGGGAGCATTGCACTAGAAACAGAGCTTTCATCTCTCACAGTCCCATACATCCCATCCTTAACAGTCCAAGGAAAACATACTTGGTACTCATGGGAAGAAGAGCTAGCACCAGTGCTCTCCTACTAGTTCTGGTGTTCCCAAATAAATCGGGCACATGCTCTGTGTGAACTGATTGGCACATGATGTGCCTAGATTTCACTCTAACAAATATCAAAGCCCATCTGCCAACAGTAGGTCCTATTCACCCATAGTGTTGTATTTTTTAAGTTATTACTGTATTACCCTGTTTCCCCTCCCCTTTTGATACCATGTCTGCCTGCAATACACCCCCCAAATCTAGATTGCCACTGCTTATCATTCAAATCATTCCCAAGACCGACTGCTGTCATGTTACATATATGAAAGGACTTCATAATAGATTTGTCTGAAAACAGAATCATAGCTGCATGAAAAAAAAGAAAAAAACCAAAACCAACCAAACAAAACTGGCACATTCATTTTCATGTTTTGGGGTCTTTTTTCCCCCTCAAGCTCAAATCTCAGTAACACGCTGGAAACAGTAATTGCTGAGGTTCCTAAACTGAAACGTATTCCCCGAGATCCCTGGCCAGCTGCTTTTGTGGCAGGCTATTACAAGGCTAAGGACTCTTGAAACCCTGGCAGCATCTTTCTGAACATGATATAATTCATGATGATTTCCCTGCTGCCCACCCTTGTAAAGCTGGGAGCCTGAGCAGGTCTCACTGTTAACATAGTGGCAAAAGGGATAAAAAATCACAGCCTTGCAAAGGCGGACAAAAAGGGACAGAGTCCAAATCCATCTATGTCCAGCCCTTTTCAATTATGAGATGGCTGGTAATAGACACTTAGGGTAGAAGAGTGCGCTGGACTCCACAGCCCTTACACACAGCAGATCACACTATACCCTATGACTAATGTAAGAACTACGCAAGTAACCACAATCCACAACACCTGTTAATACATATAGCATAATTGCTATAAAAAAAGTGCGGGAGAGGTTTAGGACATCATCAATGTTCTGGAGCAGCAATAACCCAGATTATTTAGAGAAAAGTGAAAATTTCTCTTTGAAAATGACATATACGAGAAGAAAACAGAAAATCCTTTCTGTTCTCTGCAGCTGATCAGTTGAAGCCCTGACAGACAAGATCAATCACCATAAAATTATAACGTAATGAACAGTTTCAAACTGACTAAAAATGCCACTGGGTAAGAAATTTGGGCAGAGGAATCATCCCAGCTAACTTTAGATATCTACAGCTGGCTCTCTAGATTCCCTGTATAGCCATGGAGAGAAAGAGGCACTTTCAGAGCCCAACTCATCTGACCTATTTCGAATGCCTATCTTAGGATGAGATGAACTGAATTTTACAAGTGTCTATTTCTCCCTATTGACTATAGAGTCTAGAAAACTAGTTCAGATATGCATGCCTGCATTGCAGACATCTATATTTGGACAGATGAGTCTCACTGCCACAGACCTGTATCATAAGCTTCAGTGTCTACTGCCAGCAACATCCTTATACTGCCACACTCTTCCTTCCCTAAAACTTACCCAGATTTCTAGCAGTAGGTTTGGGGGTTGCCAGGATCCCCAGCTCCATAACAACCAACGCTGTTAGCCTCCAGCAACCCAAACATCTTGGAAACTTGAGATTCTGCTGTTTCCTACCAGCTGCCTGGGAAGCTAAAATGGTTCCAGGCGCTCCCACAGGCACTGGTTCCCAAGCTTTGAGGCATCTGAGTTGGGAACATGTCACACTCATGGGAGCTAATGAGGAGGAAAGGCCTGGGAGAAGCTTACCAGAATTCCTTCTTTTCACAAACAGTTTTGATTTTCGATTACTTTTCTACTGCTGATGAAAATTTCCTGTCTGGCCCAGTCAGTCATTCATTAAACAAAGATGCAGTGGCTGAAGATAATGACCTGTGTACACAGATCTAATCAGTAATGCCAGAACAACCTTGCTTGTTATTACCTTTGATCTCTCTCTTCCTTTTTCTGCCTTTTGCTTGTTCCTGCCCCTCACTCCTGTAGTGGGACATTCAAGCCTCCTTTAATTCATCCCCTATTTCAACAGACACCAGATTAAGTCTTGGGTTTAAGCACTTGACTTAGAGCATTTTTAGTTTTCACTGTACAGCTTGTTGCACTATTTAAATACTTGAGATAACAAACATTAATTTTTGCTATTCAGGAATGAAGTTTTTGGAAGATTGCCCAGTTCAGCCACTAATTCCATTATATCTGTTGGTGGGTGGCGTGATTGGCAGCTTAAAGGTAATGTGCCTTCTATGTGTGAAAAATACTTTGTGTGACTAGACTTTGACTTGCTAGTTAAGAGATAATGATGGCTCCAGACAGCTATGTGCATGCAGTATTGAAGAGAGCTTTCAGGACTGAACTGTGCTTGTTCCAGCACCTAAAACACCCATCGGTGAAGTGAGATGCTAATGAGCTCTGCACTTCGCACTGTCCCACACACTGTGGTGTGACTTTCTCCTACATCACAGCATCTACCATTGCTACAATCCCTACTGAGGGAAATGACTACATAACATGGATGTCTGTGGTAAATGTGGTCCTGTTTTCACAAGAGGTCCTCCAAGCCTGCCAGACCTTTCTCCTTCATTCTCAGACACAGGATGGACAAGAAGTGAAGCTACTCTCCTAGCTTTAGGAATACTATAAAACTACAGGTATTGGTGCACAGCCCTTCATGAGCTCAACTTATTCCCACTCTGACTTTGCCAGAATGAATGACTGAAAAACAACAGAGGCAGCACCATTGCTTCCTTCCAGAGTAAATAAATCTGCATCACAGCAGGACTTATTAATCTAGGCACAGTATATTCTAACCATAGCATCTTCTAACCACAGCTACCTGCCTTCTAGTGGACTACGCTCACATCTTTATTGAACCTGAGCCTGGCTGCTTGATGAGCAGAGACACTCCCATGTCTGTGTTACACCCTGGTCATTATAAAGATGATTCTGCATGGACTCTAGGGTAAAGGATTAGCCCGTTCTGACAGTTCCTTTGCAAATAGCATTACCTGGCTGTTTGTGGACATGAAGAAACTTGTCACAACAGATTACAGAGCTACTTTAAGGCTTCTCAGCAGGATTAAGCAAAACTATTTTTTCCTGTCCCAAAGATGTTCTTGCCAAAGGAAAAGGGGTGGATGGGAAGGAAAAGCTTTGGAACTGCACTGCTGGGGCATGAAGGGCTAAGAACAGCAAGTGCTACTGCAGGAGGGAACATCTGCACTGGTGGTGTTGCCTGGCCTGCATAGCTAACGGGGGCAGCAGTAACCCAGCACTCACCTATGTTCCCAGGAGTCCAGCACCAACAGACAGGGTAGACCTGATGGGATGGTCGTGGCCTAATGTTTCAGTATAGGCAGCTTGGCCCTTTAGAGGGAACCTGCTAGTCTCCCACTTGACAGCACTGCATATTGCAGCCAGCAACCACTCCAAACAGGAGCTAGCTACAGTCCCCTTTGATAATATTTCTAGACTCTTTCCTTTGCCAGGATCAAAACAGGGGAAAGTATATTCCTCTGCAGGTCTCAGCCTCCCCTTCACTCTTTCACAGTGGTAACCAAGATGCAGTGCATCACTGGGATATGAATCATCCCCCCTGAGGACCTTTGGTCAGTAAATAAGTGAATGGATTAAAAAAAAGATAGTGCTTAATCATGTTACAAGGAATTTGTTGCGCTATGATTTCTACTGGCAAATGCTTAGTCATTTGATCACACCAATGGCCTTATCTGTATACTCAAAGGTTCATTTAATAATAGTTTAGAAAAGATTAGAGCAGAATTGAGAGAAAAATCTCATGCTAATGAATTGAAGCCTTCATCAAAAATGTTGACTGTTTCTCAGCTACTCCTGGTTTAAAGTCAGTTTTCCTTACCCTAAATAACATGGTAAGTGGATCAGTTAATATTCATGCTGACATCAAGTAATGGCTTGAATTTGGCTTCAGTTGACAGCAGGACTGTCCATTTTGCAGTTTTACAATACATTTGGTAAGAATTTGATTGATCTAACTCATGTGTCATCTTCTAGTGCTTTATCAGTTGCCAAATTCCACCTCTTCCAACTCTGCCTCTGTTAAGTTCATCAGACTGCACTGACTCCACTGAGCAGTACATTTGCTTGATGTCTGAAAGTTAAAAGGTCAGAGAATGGGTATAATATGAAGTCTGAATCAATGCTGTCCTGTGACAGATATTGTTTAATGGCAAGTCACTCTGGCCCAGATCTGTAGGCTTCTCATTGAGTTTTTTACCACCTCCCGTCTTTTAAAAAGCAATATTCACAGATATTCAACAAGGCGACTGAGCCATTCCACAGCATCCAGATGCCTGCTGAATTCATGTCATGCTGCTCCATAAATGTATATTCAACAGTTATTAACAATGTGAGCAACTGACAGAATTTGCTTCAATCACAACTTGGTAAGGCAATAATCTGTAAGAATGAAATACACTCTCCACAACCTGGTTAGATGCAGTTGGGATCCATAAATCCACCTGGGAGGTTTCTCTGACTTTCCCAAAGGTGATGCTCATCTGCCATTTAACCCCATTCCCATTGCTGACCCTGGTGAAGCTTGACTACAGGCAGCTGCCTATGTGCTGAGCTAACCTCAAATCTAAGGAGCTCAACAAAGCTGCAGGTCAAGCCACAGGTCCCTGTGCAGAAATCTCAGACCCACTGGCCAAGCAGGTTTTTCCCTCCTGTGTGTCATAAGCCTGCCTAAAATAAATGTCCAGCTGAGAAGAAGATGCTCTCCTGGCTTGAAAAAGCCTACCTGTTTGAGTGCTCAGCTGGATGGCAGACATGCAGTGGAAACGCCATTATTTTTTTTGCCTGAGTTGGTGCTGGGACTTTAATCTCTGTTTCTCACAAACTGGTGCCAACATCTGGGCCAGAAAAAAGAAGCTGGCTTTGTGAAAAAATATTGAATAATTTATACATAATTGAACAGTTTTACAGGGAAGAGCAAGAGAATCCTCTTCCTGGATCCTCTTGCTAAGCCTTGCCTCTAAAAAATGGGGCACGTGGACTAAAACCTGAACCCAGCAGAATATATACCCAAACAGGTTTTCCTTGGTCAGTGTTCTCACCATTGTTCACTGGCTAATGAAGAAGGTGTAAAATGGTGCTCTTTCTTATTTCAAGCATAAAAATGAGCACAGAATATAACTCTGGGAAAGAGAACATGACTGAGAACCCCTATTTGGACAGTATGTCCCTCCCCTCAGCCATTTATAAATCCACATCTTTTACATTTCTCTCTGAATTTCATTCCTGGCTGGCCGAGGCAACTTGCTGCTCACCTGCTTTCTTAAAGTCCCTTTCCCAAAAACACAGGTCGCTGCAGGGAGGCTTGTACAGGAGCACAGGTACCTAAGAAGGGGAGTTGCAATTACAATGGCTAGTGCCTTGAGGACTGGGCCAAGTGTTTCAAGTGTAGCAAGGTAACAGAGGTTTCACAATGTTTGGCCCAAATCCTCATTTAGCCCTGTATATACCTCTCCTATAAATATACCAAAATTAAGAAAGTCATTTAGGGGACAGAAATTTGAAAACTTCTCTACACTGCAGTCAACCTACTGACATACTTTGTATTCTGAGACTAAAATAGAAATCTTCTAAGCATTGCTGATGAGTCCTGCTGCATTTCCCTATAGACCAGACCTTCCTATCCCCACAGTATCATGGTATTCCACCTGTTTCTCTGCTGGTTTTGACTGAAGACAGGAATGGAGCAATCTGAGAAAATGATGCTTAATTGAAGAAAACTTGACAGAATCATTCAAAGTATTGGAAGCAAATTATTTGGGGTTTAGGTCAAAATCTAGACCGTTCATAATTTTACTTAAGCTGATTAACCTATATAGCCATGAAAAATAATGAGGAGAGACAAATCCACCCACTACAAGGCAGGAAATACTCAAGTCATTTAGCAGTTACTCTAATCTGTTCTTAAAAGTCTCCAGTGTGGGAGCTACTGCCATCTCCCTACACAATCTGTTCTCACGCCTTTCCATCCTCACCACTGGCAGGTTGTTTTTTTTCCAATGTCTGGCCTAAATCTCACTGGTGAATAAACTGTAGAGGAAAAATACATTACCTTCCAGCAGGATCTGCCTCATTTGTGGTTCCTCAGCTTTCTCCTACATGATTTTGCCACATCCAGTTTTAATTTGGCCCAAAGGCTGGCAGTGACCAGAATGTGTTGAGACTTTCCACAGCCAATTGACTTACTCCCTTTTCTCTTCCAATGTCTTCAGGTGACCCTCCTGCTGTACGACTCAACCAGGATGAGGCAGCTGCTTTCCAAGTCTGTTGTGATTGATGACGATGACGATGATGAATATCCCTGGAGGCAGAATGCTCACAAGTACTACATCCATCTAACCCTCAGCCTTTTCCTCTTTGTTTGGTTCATTCTTGGGAACTACTGGGTTTTTTCTGTGTACCTGCCAAACTTCATCCCCCCTTTCCATCAGCCGCAAGATTACTGTGACAAAACCCTGTACATTTTTGCTGTTGGTGTTCTCATCATTAGCCATACTGTTCTATTTCTCCTTATCTTTTGTAGCTGCTGCATATATTGTTTTTCCAGGCAAAGATACTCTTCTGAGGAAGACTAAATGCCGCACAAGTAAAGCCCCAGATGTTCAAGAAAGAGAGTATAACAAAGAATAGGCAATAATTCACCCTTGTGTACATCTTTGTTGTACTATATATATGTACGATAGCAGTCAACTGCAAGAGGAAATTGTAAAATACCATGCCATCTGGGAAAAGCTATGCTGGAATTCAGCATAGTCAATGTAAAATTGCTGCTATGAATGGCAGGGTGCACTCCTGCTGACTTCTACATCCCTTTTTTAACTCTTGGATAGTCTATCTGTGAACTCCTCTAAAACCAGGTCCCCTAATATTGTTTCAGCATAGTACATCTTTGCCTATAAAAGCAGCCACGTTGTCCTTTTCACATGGATCTGAACATCTCTGTAGCCTTGCTGAGGTATATTACTGTCCCTGTAGTACAAATGAGGGAGCAGAGACAAAGAGATAAAGGGCTGTATTCAGACCACCTTGCACGGTGCATGGACTTTGACAGCAACTTAGATGCTCACTACAGAGCTACTGTTAGACCAGCCAGGAAGTAGCTATGAGAAAAGCATGAGCATGTATAAAAGGCAGCCCGAGTATGGCCCACAGGTATCTTCTGAACTTGGATGTGAAAGCATTTATATCTACCTTTGGTGCTAAAACAGACAGTCTGAATATATCCATATATATCCAAAACATCTAAATTGAGCCAAGGCCACAATACAAATCTTTGGCAGAACAATATATGCTCAGCATTCTCCAGTGTGGGGAAACTGTTCTTCTCCATTTTTTGTATAGCAGTAATTTGTCAGTACCACACCAATGCAAAGGTGGTTGTCAAACCATTGTGACCACATCCACAGAAAAACTGATGATGTTATGTAGGTGTTTTAAGTATAAAAGATAATAAAAAATACATGGGCAGGGATGTAAGAATTTCAAGTGGATGTGTTCACTAAAGCAGTGCTCCAGTGGTGTGGGTGTACATTTGATTTGTTCACCTTGGTGCTGTCCATATGGAAATCTATACTTAAGAGACAGATGTAATACAAACAGCTTTTAAGTCAACAGCAGTATCAGTTTTAAAAGCACCAGCATGCAGAGAGACAACTCTTGTGGCATGTAATGGAGCAAGCCTGTAACTGGTCCTGAAGACTGCTTCTTCATGTATTGATGAATGGTGTGTAAAAATGCTCTTTCGGCTTTTGTTTTTATGCACTTTTGTTACTATGGTCAAAGCAGAGGGGGCCCCTCTATACAAGCACAAGGGTGGCCCCAGCACAGCGAGAGGATGAGTGTTTTGGGTACCTTTTCTGTTTAAACCCACACTGCTGAAACCTATGTTTTAGAGAAACCTTAGAAGAGTTATAGGATGTCTGTGGAAGGGTGGGAGCTGTAAAAGAACCTCAACAATATGCTACAAGCTGAAGAGGCTCTGCCCAACCATCCTTCCTGGGACTGAGGCTGAATGCAGTGTAACACCTATGGGAGCTACCTATCTTCAACCACGAACATTTAATCAGGAGCTATTGGATAGATAACTAAGGGTGCATTCGGTCCATACGGATTTTAATTCAGGCTCTGGCTTTAAGAATCATTTATTTCCAGAAAACTTATCTTAGAATGGAGGCAAGATAAAAGGTGAAATACTCTGACAAGAAAGCAGCATCAGTGTAGCATTTGCCTTCGCAGCAGACACTCAGGAGAAGTCACAGTCAGGCTGTCCCTGATCAGAAATCCATGGGATGGGAATTACTAACACTGCTGTCTGACTTAGGCCACTCACAGTTGTATGTAGGGAGACATGACCAATGGAAATATTTCCTTTTATTCATAGGCCTTAAATTGTGTTTGGGAGAAATCACAGGCTATGTTTTCCCAAGAGTCATAACTCCATCCATCACTCAAATGCAACAAAGCAGCTGCTTATCATTACACATGAACTTTACCCAAAAGCTTGGAACTGGCATAGAAAAGAAAATTATACTCAGTTGATACTGCAAAATAAATCTAACAAGGAAGCAGCTACATCCAATCCACCCATAGGACTCCCTGCCTAATGCAACAACTCCCTGTTGTTGCAAAATGCCGCTAGAATCATTCTTGATCACAAAGAATTAAGGGCTCATAATCCTGGTTAAGCCTGAATTGATTCCTGTGTTACTGCTACCCAGTGACCTTGCAGCAAGTGATGTGTGCTCTCCTACCTGATCAAGCACAAGGTAATTTTAGTTCATAAGCTGAGTCACATTCCCTTGTGTTTTCTGTGTGCCTCTGTGCGCACTGTTACAGCAGCCCAGCAGATGTGTAATGATTCGTCAAATTTCAGCCATACAACAGTAAGCCCAAGGCCTGTATCTCATTCATGGGAGGCTAAAACTGACTGACTCTCTGCAGTCTGCCGTGGAGACTTAATTCTTTAGGTGTGACAACCCAGTGCATTCATTGATATCTTGTGAAAGTGCTGCCAAATAACAGTGCGAGTGATCAGTTCCTGTTTGGCACAAACACAGAATGATAGCGGAAGTATTAATGAAGCAAAAGGCATTTGTGAAATACTTTGAAGGTATCAAGAGTAAACAAAAAGGTCTGTTAGAACTGGGAGAGGAAAATTCTGAATTGATAGTATTTATTTGTGTACATCAATAAGCTATGGGACGTGCAAGCTTGAACATCAACACCTCCAAAAGTGCTGGAGCCATCATTTTTGTATCCAGCAAGGTCTGAGCATGCCTTCTGCATTTTGATCACTACCACCTCCTTCAGCAGGCTAGAATCATGCAGGCATAGAGTAAGGACAGCTGGTTTTGGGCATAGGTTTAAATACAACTGAGTCACAGTGACTGGCTAAGTTACCGTGCTGCCACCAGCAGCATACTTTCTCTTCAGTTCCTCAAATGGCTAGATAATGCACTCAACTTAAACCCAAATGGAAGTAATTTAATTGCAGGCACTTTCTCTCACTTTGGGCTAATCTAGGAAACGTACATGAGCCACAGCACTTTAACCTGCAAGCAGCAGCCTTTTAAATTGCCACAAACTGATGGTGTCCCAGACAAATGTTCAGTCACAGAATCACAGAATACCAAGGGTTGGAAGGGACCTCAAAAGATCATCTAGTCCAACCCCCCTGCAAGAGCAGGGTAACCTAAAGTACATCACACAGGAACTTGTCCAGGCAGACCTTGAATATCTCCAACATAGGAGACTCCATAACCCCCCTGGGCAACCTGTTCCAGTGCTCTGTCACTCTCACAGTAAAGTTCTTCCTGATGTTCACAAGGAACCTTCTATGTTCCAATTTACACCCATTGCCCCTTGTCCTATCAGTGGACATCACTGAAAAAAAAACCCTAGCTCCATCATCCTGACACTCACCCTTTACATATTTGTAAACATTGATGAGGTCACCCCTCAGTCTCCTCTTCTCCAAGCTAAAGAGACCCAGCTCCCTCAGCCTCTCCTCATAAGGGAGATGTTCCACTCCCTTAATTGTCTTTGTGGCTCTGCGCTGGACTCTTTCAAGCAGTTCCCTGTCCTTCTTGAACTGAGGGGCCCAGAACTGGACACAATATTCCAGATGCGGCCTCACCAAGGCAGAATAGAGGGGGAGGAGAACCTCTCTTGACCTACTAACCACACCCTTTCTAATACACCCTAGGATGCCATTGGCCTTCTTGGCCACAAAGGCACATTGCTGGCTCATGGTCATCCTCCTATCCACCAGGACTCCCAGGTCCCTTTCCCCTTCACTACTGTCCAGCAGGTCAACCCCCAACCTGTACTGGTACATGGGGCTGTTCTTCCCCAGATGCAAGACTCTACACTCGCCCTTGTTGAATTTCACCAAGTTTCTCCCCACCCAACTCTCTTAATGACCCCCTCATCCTTGATATGTCTAGAGACGGTGTCAAGAATAAGTTGTTCCATCACCTTTCCAGGGTTGGAGGTAAGGCTGACCGTCCTCCTTCATGCCCTTCTTGTAGACTGGTGTGACACTTGCCATCCTCCAATCCTCAGGCACCTCTCCTGTTTCCCACAACTTACCAGAGATGATGGAGAGTGGCCGAGCAATGACCTCCGCCAGCTCCCTCAGCACCCATGGGTGCATTCCATCCGGACCCATCGATTTATAGATGTCCAGATTGCATAGCTGATCCCTAACCCAATCCTCATCTACCAAAGCAAACTCCTCCTTTGTCCTGACTCCTTCTGAGGCTACAGGAATCTTGGGCCTCCAGGGAGAGTCTGCAGGAGTAAAGACAGAGGCAAAGAAGGCATTCAGCACCTCTGCCTTTATATCCTCTGTCTCCAGGGCACCCACCTCGTTCAACAGTGAGCCTATAATGCCTCTTGTGTTAGTTTTATCTGCTATGTATTTGAAAAAGCCCTTTCTATTGTCCTTAACTCGACTTGCAAGATGAAGTTCCAAGGAGGCCTTAGCTGTCCTAATTGCCTCCCTACATCCTCTAACAACTGTCCTATATTTCTCCCAAGTGGCCAGCCCCTCCTTCCATAATCCATAGATTCTCTTTTTCCACATGAGTTTGCCCAGCAATTCCTTGTTTAACCATGCTGGTCTCCTGGCTCCCTTACTTGATTTCCTACCCACTGGGACACTCTGATCCTGAGCTTGGAAGAAGTGGTCCTTAAATGCTGACCAACTATCTTGAGCCCCTTTATCACCTAATACCCTTTCCCATGAAACTTCCCTTAGCAATTGATTGAAGAGGCCAAAGTTGGCCCTTCGGAAATCCAGAATTGTGGCTTTGCTAGGTATTCTATTCCTCCCACACAGGATCCTAAACTCCACCATCTCATGGTCACTGCAGCCAAGGCTGCCATTGACCATCACCACTTCAACCAGACCCTCCTTGTTGGTGAGTACTAGATCCAGCAGCGCTTCTCTCCTAGTTGGTTTGTCCACCATTTGCATTAAGAAGTTATCATCAATGCACTGGAGGAACCTCCTAGACTGTGAATGATTGGCTGTGTAAGTCTTCCAGCAAATATCGGGGTAGTTAAAATCCCCCATGAGGACCAAGGCATGTAGTCGTGAGGCTGCTTTCAGCTGCCTGTAGAAAGCCTCATCAACTCTTTCATCCTGATCGGGAGGTCTATAATAGACGCCCACAACTGTATCACCCGTACCAGCCAGTCCCTTAATTCCTACCCACAGACTTTCCACTTGCTCCTCATCTGTGCCTGGTCAGAACTCAATGCATTCTAGTTGCTCTCTCACATAAAGAGCAACTCCACCACCTCGCTTTGCTGACCTATCTTTCCTAAAAAGGACATAGCCATCCATGACCACATTCCAGTCATGTGAGCTGTCCCACCATGTCTCTGTAAGTGCCACCAGATCATAAACTTAGACCACACACAGACTTCTAACTCCTCCTGTTTATTCCCCATGCCGAGTGCATTGGTGTACAAGCATTTCAGGGAGCGAGCAGAGCATGCTAGTGGGACCCTTGGGAGGCGGGAGACCTTCTGGTCTTCGTTAATACTAGAACAGTGCCTCACTAGTTCAAACCCAGCTACAATCCCCTCGCACTTCGAGTCTAACCTAAAGCTCTGTGAGTGAGTTCTGTTAACTCTCGCCCTGG